GTACACCTGTAATTCCAAACATGCCAACAAATCCTCTCCAATATATTCAGCTCAAGTGTCTTCTAAACTTTTGGAAATATAAAGCTGTACATTTTATTTTGAATATATTTGCATATTTGATGTCATGTTGAAACAGAAGTGCGATCCATCCATCCCAATGCAAACAAGCATTCGTCCGACACCACTGCTATTTTTCTGTTGCTTCACTTTCCAGACACTCATTTGCACCTGGACTTTGCCAACAGAAACGTGATATATTGGGTGAGGGGTGGGGGGCAGGGATGGGAGGGGGCTATATTAGACTTACTTTTCCACAACTTTGTTACCAAGAGGGGGAGACACAGAGAAACGGTGCTATGTACAGAGCAGGTGTACACCTGTCACCCACTGCAAGCTTAAATTCAACTGCACTCACAATTAAGTGCAGCAGAGTGATGTAATGAAAGACAATGTGAGGGAGTGTAATGTAGCCTACTAGATTTGGGAAGTAAAAGCTTTATTTTCAACATTAATAGCCGCTCTCGATGAGCAATAGAGCTGCACAGACGACTCTCATGTCAGTGGTGATGAGCGAGGCGACTCACAGGTCAAGAGATGCCGAATAGTTCAGCAGGCACATGTGATATATTTAGTGAAGCCATTGTTTGTTTTATTTAGGGAGCGAATTGAGGATTTTCCAAACTGCAGGGCCCCTGAGGTATTTTATCAGGTGTACAGTCCACCATATGTTACACATTAGGGCACTGAGGGGAATGTAGCCGCTTGCACATACGACTTATAAAATGTTTGTAATTTCAGAGGACGGGGGGTCCACAATTGCTCCCTTCAGAGCTGGCGGACGGATGGAAAACATGCCACTTATATGCAAATGAAACAGCATCGCATTACACACACACAGACACACACACACACACGCACACACATACACTCACACCTCATTAAAGAAAATAAACCTCATGGAATCTGTAGGACTTCAGCAGGCTGTATGAGGGCTGTAAAAGTTGTGTAGTGTGGTGTTCAGGGAAAAAAAGAGGATAAATAGCTCTTATGTCACAATGCTTTCAGAGAAGACAGCACTGGAGTACATGTGCAGAGCAGTGCATCATGGGTATGAAGTCAAGATGAAATATTGCCGTATTTTTCATTTCTTGTTGTGTTTTCACCCCGGGCAACATGCATGCTACGTGTTTAAATCAATGAATGACTTTTATCATGTCACTACCTAATCACAGTTGGACAGCATGTGTGTATGTGTAAATGCTGAGTTCACACAGTGTGTTCAGAAGTTGTATACGTAAAACACACACAAAAATAAAACATGGAAGTATTACTGCCATCATTATTATTACTCTCTTATAATTTGCATGTCTGTCTCTAAATCCGAATTACCTACAAATCCAAGCAACATATAATAATAATAATAAAATAATAATAATAATAATAATAATAATAATAATAATAATAATAATAATAATAATAAAATAACAATAATAATAATAATGGGATTAATGCAGAGTGTAAGGTCAGTTACACTTAAGTGCTGACTGCACTGGTTGAGACTGGAAAGTGCTGCGTCTGTGAAATCATCACTTCACATCATGTATGGCTCATTATTAATCAAATTTAAAAAAAAAAAATAAAAAAAAGGAAGACCGAAAGCGAGCCTGCAATGTTTAATTCATTATGATGCAAGCTGTTTGAAGGCTGATTGTAATTGCTCATTTGTCTTGTATATTTATCGCTGCGTCTTATGTCAAGGTCGAGAAGAATTGTGTGGGGTCCATTCTCTCGTTTCATGGATCCATTTCAGTGGCAATTTGCGAAGCGGGGCAGCTCAAGTTAGTCGCGATGCGGGTCCGCGAACGTGCGGCGCCCTGGTGTGTGCCGCGGATTCTCCAGCCATGGATCACTTCTACCCGCCCCCCCAAAAATTAAATAGAGCTAAAAATATCAAAATGCAATTTGTTGTTTGATATCAGCGCCGACATTGAACCTGTCTGGTGTGTTCCCTTCCCCCATGCAGCCTCCATTCACATTAGTGGTGTCAGCGGACGTCATTAGAACTACTAATTGCAGATGAGAGGTTTTGGGTCAGTGGGGGTCACTTGATAGGAGCAACTATACACTTTTCACTGAAGGATAATTATTTCACATTGCGCGCTAAATCTTTAATGCTGCAAATTGTGCGGCGTACACGTGGAAATGCATAATCCAAGCGAGGAGGATTGGAGATGATGTGTGGTGAGTGCACGATATTTGGAATAGCCTACTCAACATTCGTTTTGCAATTTTTTATTCCCATATTGCCCGTTGTGTATTTTAAAAAAATGTACTTTTTAAATAATTGACGGCACGAAACAGAATTGTTTTTACTACATTTTTAGGCTTATGTTTTTGTAATAATAAATAATAATTTACGATTATGCAGGGTAGTTTATGATTTTTATTGTAAATGTCGGTTAGTGATTTTTATTAGTTAACCTGGGGGGGGTCACTAAATAAAATATACTAGTTTTAGGGTGGGGTTTATTTTGGTATATATTTCAGTTCATGCATGCAATTAAATACACTGAAAAAAATGGGAGTGATATTTACATGTACAAATAGTAACATTTCTTTCACTCGGAAATTCTAACGACATTTTAAAAGGAGAGTTTTTTTATTTTAATTGCATAGTCTTAGTCTATTTAAAAAAAAAAGTCCCTCAATGGTTGATGAACGAACCCACGCCACTTTGTAATACATTGCTCAGGGTGTCAGGCGGGAATACTCAGATAACCAAAAGGAGTTTTGAGGATCTCCTTTGGAGACACCAACTCCTGACATACTAAGTGGCACGGCTGTCTTCCAAACTGAAGATTGTGGGAACGTTCCTCAACCCTGAGCGACTTCTTTATATTAAACTACAACTGCGCAAGTAAAATTTGGTGTAAAATTCTCCTTGTAAAATTGACTTCAAAATTCTCAGTGGAAAAAAAAATTATTATAGTTTATTTTTTCAAGTAGATATCACTCCCAAATTTGCTCAGTGCGTGACAACACTAAAACAATATAATGTGATATAATAGAATGTGATATAATGAAAGATAATTTAATAAAGATAAAATAATATAATTTGAAGGTAAGTAGTCGAGAAATTTGATGGATACCAATATAATATAATATAATATAATATAATATAATATAATATAATATAATACAATATAGGCCTACATAAAGAGCATCTTCCCATTTTGTCACTGACTTGTCTTCCATGGTACATGTATTGGGAATTTTCCTAATCGTAAAGGGTTGAATAGAGGGATTTGCAGGTTAAAACATATGCATTAAATTTATCAAATGGTGGCAGGCTCTAATGAGACTCCGTCCTGTCTCCTGTGTGTCCACACAGGCGCACAGAGGGTGCGCCAAATTTTGTTTGTGGCGGATCAAGGCTCACCGCCTCCATTGCACTTTCTTTATCTTAATTCCAACTTGAAAAGATATAATTATCTAGTTTGAACAGGACCGCTATCAAATCCGTCTTTATAGGCAGGGAGGGGAAAAACTCGAGTGGATTGTGAGGCTCTGAGCCGCTCGGTGTTGCCCGAGATAGGAGTAATGAAGTTGTGGAGTCCGGAGATACAAAGGGCATTAACCTCATTAGCATGAAACCTTTTCTTCTAACTATTGTGGGACCCTTTCAGTGCTCTAATCCCCCCCTATTTCAAAGCTGGGTTTGTAATAAAGCTTTTAGCCCCCCCCCCCATCCTTTCCCCTCTAACGCTTAATGGTATTCTCTAAAGATTTTTATTGCTGTTGTAATCAAATGGACCGAGTAAGAATTGCCCGTTACAAAAAAAAAAGAACACTTGCGAAAATATGTACGTTCAAAAAAACTTTTCATCATTCATGCTGATTTAAAGTGTGCGCGCTCCTAAAAAGTGTGTAATGTTGCGGTTGTTGCAGCAGCACAGCAAGATGTGAGACAAAGATCCCATTTTGCGGCACATTGCAACCTTCTCTTATCGCGTCGCGAGGGCTAGTCAGATTGTGCTAAATTATGTCCAACCAAGCCCCCTTGGATCCGGATTAAGAGATTAAAGTGGACCACTGGGCAATGCCCCCCTCCCCGACCCACCCCACTTCCCCCCTCATATTACTCGCATGATAATTGCCCAAACTGATTTGCACTTTCACAAAAGCTTGTCGAGACTCTTTGGAGCTGCTGCACACAATCATGGGAGAAACAAATCCTGAATTGTGCGCAAATTATTAGCTCTTCTTTTGCTTTTTTACAATGCACAGAAAAAAACGGCAATGGCTATCAATTAAGAAGTGCTTTTAAAATAAAGGCCTGCGTGCTTTTACAGCGCGCGACATATTGATAAAACTTTATTGACAAAATATTGACAATTACATACTTCTTGGAAGTATACTTTGTGTTAAAATTGTAGCAAACTTAACACATACACAAAAATTATTTACATTCTGTAAAAGAGAGTTTAACAGAAACAATAACAATAACTTTTTTTCTGTACATGGAATACACTCAGTGCTTGGATTTTATTATTTTTTTTGTCTATAATTCGTTTTAGTCCTTGTGGCATCTTTGAGTGGAGGCTCACGTCCTGACAGAAGGCTGCGTGGGGCCAAGCACAACCGCACACTGGTAAAGCTTTAGAGGTTCAAGGAATGTCCTGATAGTTTCCCTTAAATTCTCTCTCATCGTTTTTTTTTTTTTTTTTTTTTAGAAAACCAGTTTTTGCTTTTTTTTCCTTGGAAAACAAAACATGATAAAGCACTGCTACTTCGTATGTTTTCACAATCACTTTTACACGATAATTATGAATTAAAGACTGCACACTGTTGAAAAAGAAGTACAACACCCCTCTGTTTGAAAATAGTGAAATAAAATTTTTGTTTTGTTTTCCACTTGATTGTGTCAAATTAAAACAACTACCATGCAATTCAAGTTTTTTTTTAAATTCAGTTTTGGTATATCTGGAGTGGAAAAAAAAATAGAAGTGCAACCGTCCAATTTGAATTGGAGAAGAAAAAAAGAATATTTCAGGTGGTGGTGGGTGGTGACACACAATCTGTCAGTACCATGTTCCTGGTTCTTTTGGACTGACGGAGCTGCAGGGTGACAGCTGGGCCACGCGCAGCTGGCCTTCCGTCGGCTTCAGCTGCCCATCGGGGATGTGAAATGAGACATCGGGTTATTTGACCCGACTGTCTTCCCACGGTATCCTGTATTCGTGTCCTCCTCCGCTCAGAAGCACGTTTGAGTCTCATTTTAATCGTCCGAAGTCACATCGATTTCCTCCGGGCTGGACTGTTTGGTGGCCAGCCTCCAGCGGTTTATGTGATGAGAGCCCTTCTTTTTCTGCTGCGACTCGGAGCCCTCCTCCTCCAGCTTCTGTCTCTTGAACTTTGTCCTTCGGTTCTGAAACCACACTTTTACCTAAGGTGGAGAGGAGAAAAAAAAAGAATCAGTATCAGCAAACACGGATGTGCAAATCATTGCGTAAACGGGTACAGGCCGACACTGACTGAACATGTTGAAAATTAAAGGGTAAAAATATTATCACATTGAATATTTGTCATGATTAATTCAAATGGTATTAAGCATAGAAAGGAAAAGACCACCGCTGCAGCTGTTATTTTAAAACGCAATAGTAAATTACAGCTCGTCCTATAAAACAGGCCGTGATGACACAGCGTCAATTAAACCAGGCACCATTTTTACAGGGCTGATAAAATAAAATCAAAACAACGAGAGGAAAGGATTTCCATTCGGTGACACATTTAACACGCGCTCCTCTAAATCCACTCATCGTGCTGATCAGTGGTACCCTGGGGAATTAACTACATCTAAATCGATAAATTATCTGGCCCACGCAGCTTTGTCACTCCCTTCAATGGCAAGTGAGGTGCATTTAAAAAGCTCTCAGTGCGCTAATTGAACGACGTGATGCTTCATTTGGGCCGATGGGCTCGAACAATGTGGAAAATATGGCAGCGCGACCCACCGAGGCCGCCACCTTCTTTGTATCGCTGAGCCACAAAATGGTTAACTCCTTCATTTAGCCTCCATTTTGAAAGGAAACATTCTCTGAGTCCCCCTCGAAACAAAAGTCATGCAACCCCTCCGAGAATGAGGTGAGGTGAATTGTATAATGAAGGGGCGGGGGTCAGGTATTGCCTCGTATACACCACAACACAATTTAAGCCCCCCCCCCCGCCCCCCAAATAGTGCTGCGCAAATGTATTTTATTTTTGGCCATTAATGTTTAATTTTAAATACCACAATATATTATACATTTTAATTTGAAACGTACAAGAGCAAATATTTGGGGGAAACGGAACATCACGCATGGTGCAGTAATATATTCAAAATGTATTAAGGCTGCACATGCACGTTACCATTAAATGCCAAGAGATGCATTAATAAATACATGCAAATGCCAAATTGTAGTCTTACCTGAGTTTCTGTGAGACTAAGGCTGTGCGCGAGCTGTTTCCTCTCTGCTCCCACCACGTAATGATTTTTCTCAAAGGCGTGTTCGAGCCTCAGGAGTTGCGACGGTGAGAAAGCCGTGCGGATTCGTTTGGGCTTTCGGGCCAGCGCGTTGTGCAAAAGGAAGCTCTCGGGACTCGTTTCGTTACCTGAAGCCCAACAAGGGAAAAAAAAACCCCACAACGCTGTCAGTCTGTTTGGCTGATTTTAAATGATACAGCGTATACGTTGACAATGAAGGCCCTTGCAAAGATTGGGAGGGGGTTAGAAATTTTAGGATGAAAAATTATTTCAAGAATTACCGTCAAATGTCATGTCACATTTTTCACATGCCAAAACGAAATCAAATCAAAGGCTTAATTTAATCCATTTGTATTGAAAAACTGAAAAGGAAATAATTGTGTCCATTTTTGATTGAAGTCCGTTAATTGAACTTCGCCTTAATTTCAATGCAAATATTTTCATAATAGTACAAAAATATATAGCATGAAAAATATGCGAGCGTCGGGGCTTGCTTTTTAAACAAAAAGAGAGTGGCCCTAAATTAAAGACATGCCACCTGCAAATTAAAAAAAATACAATGTAGGCGCAATCCATAGAAATAACACGACAAAGCCTTTAAATGTAATTTTTAAAAATGAAGTGTGATTGTGTGCCAAAAGGATGCAACCTGTAGTACATATTGCAGAACATATTTCGAAATGCGCAACACAACACAAAATATGACCAACATTTTTCTTTAATAAAACATGAGTCAATATAATATTCAAACAAATCAATTGAATTAATAACGCCACACAGAAAGGCGATGAGCAATTTTGAAGTAATGTTGCTTGAAAATTCTTCCCTCCTTGCTCTCTCAACAAAAACTTTGGGAATGGGGCATTCCACGCCAAAAAGCGAGCTGAAAACTTACCTTGAAATCTGTGTCCCAAGTATCTATATCTGTGTAATAACCAGGGGTAGAAGGTTGAGGGGTCCCTTTGCTGGCTGCCAAAAAGCGGGTGCGGACTATGAGGAGACGAGAGCGGATGAGCGGCCAGGGCGTGCGGCGGGGCCACCGGATGCACCGGGACCGCCGAGTTGGGCGGATGCGATACCGTCTCGGCGAACACCAAGTCCGGGTTCGAGTAGACGCCCCTGGCGCCGGAGTGAAAACCGTTGAGGAAGGGGTTCATCTGGCCCGAGTTTGCATAGCTGAGAGCCGCCGGCCTGATGGGCTCCTCCGTGCGGGACGCCGGTACCGGATTATCCTTGGCCACCAACGACTCTATCGTGAAACACCTCTTGGGTGTGGGTTGAAACATGGCGCGATGGTCCGGGTTCCCCAGTTTAAGTGGAAGTTATCGCGGAAAATACTCCAGAGTTGGGAAAGAGGCGAAAGTTGTTGCGCGCGGCGTCGAAGTTCAGCAAAAGCGCAGCACGCACCCGCCGCGGCGGACACCGAAGAAGGACGTCAAATCAAAAGTGTCCGTGAGCTCCCAGACTAATCCATGGATGTGATCGTTTTCCTCCGTGACTCGGTGCGGGCAGATGTGTTAGTTCATGAGGCTAATTAGCGCTGCACTCCCATAAACAGCTTCCTGTGAAGTCGCTAATGGCATGCTGATTGGCCGCTGCCTCTGCCGCTCGCCTTAAGGTGGAGAAGTAGCGAGCCGCTTTAAAGTGCGGCAATGGCAAAGCGGCCTGAGCTCAGAGAGGCGGACTCGAACGCAACGCCGACAGGATTCGTCCGCTCGGCGGCAACACGCCGTGCGCGCGCACGCACGCAAGCAAACCAGCGCGCGCAACTCACGCACGGAGCTCAGGCACGGGGAAGGCCTCTGACACGTCCGCACTCAAAACGAGCCTTCGCTAGTTTATTCCAATCTTCGGGGACCGAGTAATTGCATCGGTCGGCCTTAATTCCTCTACCAATTATGTTTGTCCGTGTATTGTTTTGGTTCAGCTCGATTGAGCCCATTGTGGGGCTGCGTTTAAAAAGTATTGGAGGCTACAGTCGACAGTCGCAATTCGTTGAAAACTAGCGAGGGAATTACTCGATCAGAATCATTCCAATCTGATGTAGACAAATGAAAATCGAGTATTTCCGAATTCAGACATATTTGTCAACAATTGTCACTGAGCATATTTCATGCTGAGCAGGCCTTTCAATCTGTATACGTAGACTATATTTAATCTTTTTTTTTAATCCAAGTTGATTTTACTTCACCTTACAACATACGAACACGAGCCTTTTCCAAATCCTTATCAATAACTGCTACTATTTATCTACGTGGCCCTTTAAAAGAAAATCTATCATGTCCACCGTCTCTGGAAAAATACACAATTAGTTATCCTGTCCTTGGGTCAGCAGCACAACGTAGAAAAAAACTCCACTAATTTTTTTCAGACTTAAAATGTGAATTTCTCCGATATGAATGTATTAATATTATTTTTATTATTTTACAACATGTGTATTTGCTGAAGTGAATTTTTATTTTGGTGCCTTGATATTATATTTGAGCAAAATAACCCGAATTCAAGATTATTATTTTTAAATTATTTAAACTTCTGCAATACCTAAATTTCCCCTTTGAAGACCAAAAAAGGAGGTCTTATCTTATAGCATTAAAGGCTAATTAATACATAGTTAATAGTTGAATACATGTTCTATTTTAGAGTGCTTGTGTGTTTTGGTGTAATTATTGGGAATGCAAAGTTTCTGATGATACTGAATACATTTCCGCGGTAAAAAGCCTCATTTTGCCTGCTATTGCCATGTGAAAGGTCCCGCTGCACTCCGTGGAGCTTTAGTGACCTCTAGTGGATTTCATGTGTGCAAAGACAAAAGTTCGAAAGCGTGAGCTGATTTGCACAACTGTTCAAATCGTGTTTGAACCTTTACGGAAAGCAATACATTTTTAGCTACCACAATGGTATTTTCATCGATATTGTGTATTATATAGTATCGTTTATATTGTGCGCAAGCGAGAAACAACTGTTAATAATGGCCTAACGATAGCAGAAAAAATGTTCAAATACCACCAAGCGCAACGGTATTAGGCAAATAACCACAGGTGAGTTTACAATGTGGAAGTTCTGACACTGGCATGCATTGGGCAGTAAGTCTGCAGGTTGTGCACGACCAGTACATTTCCTGGATATCCCTGCAATAATGACACAAAGCATGTTTTTAGATTATATCAATTTCTCCCCGTTTAACTTACTGGGGGGAAAAAATATCTTAATTTGTGTGCAGACTTGCTATTTGTTGTAATCGTTGCTTTTTAGCTCTGGCACCAGTAAGTCAGCCAATGTCCCATTTCTCCTCATTAGAGCTTGATATTAGGATGGTCACACCCAACTTTTGGCTTTTGACAAAAAAGTATACAAGTGGAGGTCAAACAATTTTAATAAAGGCTTTATCTGTTCACATGCAATCTGGTATAACGCCATTGTCACTGCAGCGAGAGAAGCAGAAAACTCTATTCGATGAGACAAATTTCATATTTGAAGCATACACTTCAAAATGGATATTTCACTCATGTAACATGTTAATATCACCTGAAATGGATATTTTCCCAAGCGCTTGGCATTAGTATAAGAGTGCCATCATACAATACCAATGCGAAAGTTAACAGTTTAAAAGAGGCAGTTGGTGATTCACTGAGTTTGCATTGAGAGCTGAGGTTGATATATTGTCCAATATGCTATGATAACATGGATAAGACTCGTATCCATGGGGGTCGTCACGTCTACGGCAATGGTTTGCTTGAGGCCTCAAGTTTTCCAAACTGCTGAAAGTCAACTAATAGTAAAAAGAATATCCATCCCCAGAAAAAAAACAAGTTATGACACTGAATTTGAAAATGAATAATACATGTCGTTTCAGAAGATTAATGGAGCTAAAGGAGGAATCAGTTACCAAAGGCTAATCTAATATTTCTTTCCATCATATTTGGAGCCACGTTACAGATGTTGGCACTCAGCGGCGGACGGTGGTCCAGCCATCATCATCGGTTTCGTTCTTAGTGCGACGAGCGTCTTTGTCTGCACGCCAGTTCTTCTCTCCTTCAGCATCTTTGTCTTGCTCGCGCTCCTTGGGCCTGTCTCGTTCCTCACGCCTTTCTTCACCACCACGACGCCAAGCGCCTCCTGCAGAAAAAGGGTTGCTCATTAGAAATGATGTCGATGTATAAAGTCATAAATTTGCTCACACTCAGTTGAAGCCATGCAGAATAACTACTTTCATAGGTACACGACGCCACCTACTGGCTGCCGTTTGAAATGTGGCTCATTTACTAACAGGTCCCGTACCATCAAAAACCATCTCCGAGTTTACATGGATCCATATATTCCGATTAGAATGAATTTGAATGAACAAATGGAATGAAAATGAGCCATGTCAACATCTCAATAGGAATAAAAGGGTCAAATCTGAATGGATGGTCGTTTGGATTCACAGAGGTGATAGTCCTTTTGCCAATCTGGCCGAGTGTGATGTACATGGTTCAATCAGAATAGCCAAGCTGCATCCAGTCTGTGCACACTCTGTCTTGACGTAAATGCCTATTGACGTGGTCGTATATGCACTTTAAAATGGCAGCGCCTTACCAGAACTCATCTGTGATGGGAGAATTTGTTTTACAATACAATACATCCTGATTTATATCGCGCTTTCACAAAAGCTGCAGCTGTAACAAAGCGCTTAACAATTGGCGATTATATATCAAATAAAAACAAGCAAGACAGCAGACTCATTGACGGACAAAATGTTATCAAGCGATGAAGAATTTTGTGACAAGTGTTGCTATGTGTGTATTTCATCTGCACCTTGTTTTTATCAAGACGTTGCTTTAATAAGTGTTAAAACTATCACAACCACTGTTCTAAATAAACTTCTATCTTGATAAATTGTGTGATGTTGATCTCAAACTCCATGCATTACACAGCTGATATAATCAACGGAGATAAGCAGCAAATTGGAAAAGATCACGTTGCATGTAGTAGACTTGCTACTACTTATTCTTCAAGTATGTACCTACTCTACTCAGGAAGAATGGTTACTCGGTGACAAACTAGCCAACCTTTGAGGAGTTGAGCAACGAAAGGCTGAAATTCATTTTGGGAGAAATTCCAAAGCATTTCAGAGCGAGAACTGTGCTGTGTTCTAAAAATACACCGACCACCACCAAGTGCTTTACACCAATGATTAACGATAGTAAAAATTTATAATGCATTCATGTATGTGTGAGACGAGATCTTTAGAACATTTCTACAGCATTTTTTGCGACAGCATTTAAATTGATTTTGAATTATAAATATTCTACATTTCCCAATAATACCAAACCTACCACTAAAATATGTCCGAAACCCTTGTGATGTGATGAGAGTACAAGCACATGCTTGGTTTACCATCATTCAGCTCTCTTGGTGGAGCTTTCTGAGGATCATCACGGCGAGCTCTGTCACGTGGGCGATCATCACGTTCCCCGCCGTGATCATCGCGGCGATCATCGCGGTTGCCACGACGGTCAGTGTCCTCTCGGCGAGAATCTCTCCAACTGCCCCTTCCATCTTCTGATCTCCTCCAGCCATTGTCCTCTCTGGAACCGCACACATTAATTAAAGTGACAATCCACACAAACGAACAAAATCCGGGATTTTCCTGCGTTCAAAATTGCCCTCAGCCAAACGGATTGATATCGCTTAACACAGCTTAAAGCTCCAGCTTTGCTGATTGAGCAATTGCTGTCCCTCTGTGGCAGCTTCGTATTGTAACTGCAGATGGAGCATTACGCCACTATGAAGGCGATATATCAACTGCAGTGCACAGGACAGACCTGAAGCAACTACAGAAGAAACATATCAAATCGTGATTTTTCCACGCTAGTCGGTGCTCGTGGCGTCCGAATTTTCTCTGGCTGATGGAACACACAGATAAATATTGCCTTTTTTGCGTCCAAGCATGTCGTGTTTATTAAAATAAAGTTTCCTTTTATGAATTTTAGGCACTTTTTAAAAAAGCGAACTGGGGTGTAGGAAAGTCAAGCCTAGATAAAAGAGCAGAGAAATTAATGCAACAGGCAGTTACCATGTAATAGTTCATGGTGGTGGTATGAAACACTGATGATAGCGAGGGTCAAAATACAGGACGAGTCCGCGAGGCTATATAAATCCGTTTCCAATTGGGTGCATAACATCGCAAGGGCAACGTGTACGTGATGGAAACCTTATTTTTTAAATTCCTCTTTCCATATCGTCTCAAAAACACACGAGCCGGTGGCTTTGACGGGCAGTGGATAATTGAATTTACCTGGCTCAGGCATACTGGGGAAGGCATGCACTGCTATTTATGCAAAAAGCACTGTGCCCCCCAACACAGCAGGCAATTGCTGCCTCCCTTGTAAGACAGCCATTAACCAACTACAGGCTGGACACATTAAAAAGACATGAGGTGACAGCCATTCACAAAGCAGCGGAAGGGAAGAAGTATATTTTAAAGAACTCAAATAATAAAGTTCCAAAACCAAAATAATATCGCTATAATAATGCTTTAACATGATAATCGTCATTCTTATTGGAACTCTGAACGTAAAGTATGTTTCCTGTAAAAGAAAGTGAGTCAGTTCAATTTACCGAATACATGCACACCATGGAGCATGGTCAGGATGGTCCCACCTCTGCCTCAATTTGAGCCAAGAAAAACCCTGAACATGATCTTGATTCTGTCAAACTCACCTTTGACGGTCTCTGAAGCGATCAT